TTCCATAACTCTACAAAATAAAGAATATTATATCACTATAATACTTATTTATAGATTATAACAAAAGTAAAATTATGAAATATTGGACGCGATACCATTCTTACATTTTCCTTGTAATTTTTAATATAAAAATTATTCGGAACCCTTGCAAACATATGTAACTCTGTGGCGCCACATTAATTACTTTACTGAATATAAAAATAAACTTACATCTAAAATCCTAATTTATCAGTTCAGTAAAGAGTTTACACAACTATTCAATAGATGCCATAACAATATACATAAAACAATGAATTCCAAACTAAGTTATTATTTCTGAACTAATATCAATTACCTACTTGACTCTTTCTCTCAATATCTATATTTAAAATATATTAGAACGTAAGAAATACATAAGCAATTCATGCATACCGTGTCCTGTCCTTTCTTAATCAGTACAGATAGAAAGAGTCAAAAAAAGGTGCTTAAAACTAATTCAGATAAGTATAGTCTGTTTCTAGCCAATCAACTATCAGCGAATCTTACGAGAAAACTTTATAATCTCAATAGTAGATTTTATCAACATTTCAATTATGTTGTCTCTAAAATATAAGCAAACAATTTTTTTTTACATCCGGCCTTCGTGTAATTATAAAAATATCAATTCTAAGTATTAATCATATTTATTCTTTATTGCATTTAAAAAACACAAATGGCGGACTCAACGTCAAAGGAATTCTCTGCCAGTCTACCAAAACAAGATATTGGAGTTTAAGAATGTATTTAAGATTGTTTTCTTCTAAATTTTAACTTTGGAATCGAAAGTGATATGTTATTTTTTAGAAAATCAATTCATTCAGCAAACCTTTCCATATAAACTTTAACTATGTCTTTTATATTATATTATGCTCCAAAAAGGTTTTTTTTTATGATAATGTAATAAAATGAAAAATATTAATTTAAGTATTCAAAGAAACAACCAACATACTTATTTGCATTGTTATTATACTACTATTTACATAGAAATGTTGATAAAATCTTACATCGTGGCACTTTGTGTTTTAAATAAAAAAATATATATCTTACTCAAAGTGAGTTGCCTACTTTAAAACTAAAATCAAGTACTTATGCCCTTAAAATTAAGTTAATGTATGTCATTTATGAAAACCTTTTCAAAAACTCATGTTCTAATTTGGATAAAAAAAAATGTAGGCACCTTACGAAATAAGAATGCACCTATTTTGATTTAGACCTCTAACAAGCTATTTTTTTTTACAATTATTTTACTTAATTCTTTAATTGGCACCGGAGCCAAGTCCAAACGTTTAACGTTAAGGCATTGTTTATTAAATTCTAAAGCATTTCGCTACTCTAACTATGCAACTAATAAAACTAAATTTAAATGAGAATATTTTTTGTATTGCAACGAAGTACACATTAAAATGCTTAAAGCAATTTCCTTATTTCTTACAACGGCAGTGAATGACTGGTTTCCAAAGCTGAATGAGACAACTTATTGCAGCTTATAAAAAAATAATTGTGCGATGACGTAGCATAAAGTTTTAATAAAAACCGATTAAAGATTACTGTGCATGCAGCCATAAATTCCTATGCTCTCTATACTGTTAAATAAGTATGGATGGGCTGTTAAAAAAAGAAAAATAACTCTGTAACAGAAGTGCAATAAATGAATATGCACTTCTCAACTAAATTATATACGTATTGCTTTCTTTTAATACTAAACAACGAGCTTTTACATATTTTTTACTTTATGCTAAGTATTGCACTAGAAATATTTAAAAAAAAGAAAAAAATTGCAACGGAATCATTTGAAAAAGTAATGAAACTTACGTAAAAAGTATTTTATCCACATACTAAAAATAACCCGCCAGTTTAACTGACAGGTTACCACCAAAACATTAATCCAAAGCAAAGACAATAATCGATTAATTACACTAACACCTACCTAAATTGAAATGGCAATGATTACAAATTCGCCCAACACGAAATCGGACTTGCATATAATTATTTTAATTAATCACTAATTACAAATAATTACAATAAATAATAATATGTCAACGTCTTTCATAAAACACATAAAATCGTCTGCGAATATCGTATCAAAAATTATTATCACCGATATAAAAACAGAATCCTGGTTTATTTAAAGCTCTCTTCTCATTAATATGATAAGGTTCAATTTAATTTTTAAAATATCACATAAACTTCAAAGCCCATTTTGTGTTATCTTCAAAAATTACGAAATTATGACACTGACGCATCGCAGCGATTTGAAAACATTTGTACGGGTAATGTTTTTCTATGGAAAATAGATATAGTTTATTTTTGATACGATGATAACAAATCAATATAACTAATCCACTGGGAATCATGTAACCTTCAGACAAACCAACCAAAGCTTCATACTTTACAACAATTGAAAAATAACTTTGCAAGTTTAAGATTTTTTTATGATATTGAAATACCAACCTTAGTACGTTGAAATGGAGCTGAAAATAGTATTACGCTAAGAATAAAAAACTAATTCTATTTGAATATAGTAAGGTTGATATTAAATATGATTTAAAAAACTACCTACAGCATTTTGTCTATGACATCTAGTTATTTGATTGGCTTATTAATTTTTATGAGCAGTTTATATTATCTTGAGTAAGGAAAAATATTATGGGCAAGATAAATTGTAAAGTTCTAGCGAATATATCTAAGGTTTTTATTTTTTTTGTATGAATTTTCATCAATAAATTAGGTAAATTTCGTAATATCCAGTTTTATCAGAAAAATATACACCAATTTAAGTACCTACCTATTTTACAATCAAAGAGTATTATTGTGAAGCAAAGCACTTTGTTTGATTATACATATTAAGCATTATTTTTATAATATACAAATGACTAAATAATAATAGCAGTTGAAGACCAATTCCATACTTATTCTCACACATACATTTCTAGTAGACAGATCTCTAATCTTAATTGTTCCCATAGGCCTTAGAAAAGTAAAGAGTCAATATAAGCATAGTGGCAGTGTAAATTTTACTTAGATATATAATATATATATATATATATATATATATATATATATATATATATATATTCTATGTGCAGTTGCTGTCACCACAAAATAAGCAATCATCATATTCTTTACGGCAGATACGATACGAGATAAGATTATTAGTTTTTTTTTTATATTCACTATATTTTTTTAGATTATGTAAGGCATTGCTTTAAGTAACGGAACTTTTCCATTATCGACCTCTTACATTTGCAGCTCAATAGACCGTAGCTTACTTTTAACACATTTTTTTTATGATAGTTGTACACCAGTTGGGTGCGGATTATACGCCATTTGTTTCGGTTAAGTGCGTGCTGTATATCAGAAATAATAACAATAACACAGATTAGAGATGCGCTGAATAATGGTTTCACCGAATAACCGAATGCTATTCGGTTTAACATTTACCGTTATTCTGCTTATGAAAATGTTGATTTGACGTTTAATTGTTTTATTTTATTGTCTTTTTTAAACACATTCTTCGTATGATTTCTTTATCTTATAATACAACTTAATCTTAGATAAGGCTTTTTGTTTTTTAGTTCTATATTATGTTGTGTAACCAAGCAAATAGAAATACTCGAACCGAACATACTCCGCACCAAAACTGAATATTTCGGACAAATAGAAATAGAAAAGACGCCGAATACCAAAACGAATATTCGGCATTTCTGCCTCAGATTATCTCGAATCACTTATTAAATAGATATAGAGCAACTGTAAACCGCATGTAAAAAGGTTCCTATTTAGATATTTAATAACATAATATACATGGATAAATGAATAAATAAAAATAAAAGATAGATAATAATGAAAGCTAAATTGTGTAGGTATAAATTAGAGATTTAAGCGCTCTCTACACGTAGTTTGGATCCCGCATCTCGGTTTGCATTCTAAACCGCGGATTGCTCTGTGCTGTTTGAATTACGGATCAAAATATCTTCCTAATTACGATTAATATCTGACGGTGGTTTGAATTTCGAATCTTACATGTTCAGGCCATCGATCGATCGACATTGATTTCAACCGTCACGTTACATTATACATTTTAAAAGTTTTATCCACACATCAGTCGGTCAGCCCGCGCCCAAACATGTACATTTCAGAACCTGTTTCCCGCGATTCGAACGGTGTAAAGCGCGCTAATGGACTCATAGGGTTATTATCCATAATATTTAGGATGCTTTGTCATTATTTTTTGTGTTTTATATTATATATCGAAGTCTATTATGGCGTAAGCGCTAGTTTGATTCATTATGGCGTCACACAGAGCGACGTCTAGAAATCACAAAGGTCGGTAAATACACGAAATTGATTTTAAGTAAGTACATTATTATTATCCCATATACTGTCATATGATCTCGAACTGTAGTCAAAGTAGCGAAAAAATCAGACGGAATGAGCCCAGCATTAGTATATAACATCTAATAAATATATTAAAAATAGTTATATAGCTCTGAGTAAAATTATTTATTAATTACAAGAGAAATAAAAATCAATAAGTAATATAATAAATAAATGCATATAAACCTCTTTCGTTAATACTCAATTGGCAAATTGACTCTCTTAATGAGTCTGTTTAAGGCCGAAAAATTACTTAAAAGGCCCACAAAAATAAAATCCATGCATTTCGCAGAGAAGAGAAAAATATAATCTATTGCACTTTCACACCTAGAATTCTTTATAGTCTGTGGTGAGTATTTAAGTATTATTCACAATCTTGATATGTATACTCTGGGAACCTATTTATGTACATCATAAACTCCTGTTCTATAGTAATGACGAAAAAACTTGTTACGAAAATAAATAAATGATCCAACTTTACACTTAAAGCAGTAAATTCGAAATTCCTTAACCATTATAATCGTCGTAGAAAACTAGAATTTCAAAACTCTTGAGCAATGTGAATGAAGGACACCATTAAAATTTACACCTGCAGACTTAACAAGTCAGTGATCGCCTCTAAGTAACTCCATGAGGAGATTGAAGCTGGGACCGTCGCCATCTTTATTCTTGTTCGCGGGATTCAGCATTTCTTTGCCGACTTGCATAAAAAACTGAAATAAATTTTAAATATATTAATTTTTGTAAAAGTTTGTCTGATATTAAGATTTTTACGAATTTGTAGCATTGATTTGTTAAAGGTAATTTTTCACTTGGCGTTTCGCAAAAGTGACTCGAGAAATATGATTTATTTATGTTCTTGGCCTGAGCCCCTGCAGTGGGGACGTAAAAGGGCTGATGATGATGATGATGATGTTCTAAACAATAGGCTCGAATCATAGACAGCATCAGTCCCGGCATTAGGATTGGTTATGCCTGATTAGGCCATGATTTCTTGTAATAATAATCTCCGCTAATTACTCAGGCGCTTGGCCGCCATCTCGGTGACGTAATTTTTTGACAGTTTTTTTCAACATTCAGTAACGTTAGCAAATAAACACTGTAGCGAACACACGTATTGCATTGGGTTGTTTTTGAGCACGTGCTATTATTATGTTTTTGTTGTTATTGTTATGATTGACTAAAACAGTAACTGTTTTTATGATTCCAACAATAAATGCTCGTAAATGGATCATGTTCAATGAAATCTTATTAAAAATATATCTAACGCCTCTAATTTGATTACTAGTTTTAAATATCTGTTCTCTAGTTTTTGTGTTATTAGAAAATACATATTTAATTCTTAATAAAAAAATGCTCAAAATATCCACTAGCCCAGCTAATTTAACTTACGACCTTTCGCAATCCACAATTATCAAATAAAAAAAAAAGAAATTGGTTTTATTTTCGCCTTTCTTGTCATTCCTTGCTTTGCTTCCTACGCTACCCACTTTGAATTCTTGTATTATCTTTCAATATACAAATCTTATTTCCTTCCTAAAGCGCCGTTATGCTGTTTTCAATAATTTCGATTATAAACTTACTTGGCAAGTTCGTTGCAGCTCCGGGATCCGTAGCAGTAGTTCGCCAAACTTAGCGGGAGTATCGGGCGAGTGCGTCGCTATATACGCTTGTAGTGCTGCAAGCGCTTTTTCCTGAGACGCTCTCACTTTTTCTGACTCTCGAAGTTCAGGAGTGTCTGACGTAAAAAATGGTGCTAAATTGAGAAAGACATCCAAATAGGAACATAAATATAGTTCTTTACTGATACTGTCATAAATGCAAAGGAATCTTAATCTACACAGCCTAGTCTCTAGTTTTCCTAGGAAATCGAATTCGTTTCCAGCAGCCAAATTTTTAGATTTGTGTTGTAGATTCTAAATTAATGCAGTGTGGATAGATTCATCACATAATTATGGAGACTCACATTCGTCAAATCAACTTCAATTAACTAATTAACACGTCTTATTAATTACCTGATGTGAGAAGAACGATGACCTTCAAGGCGACATATTCGTATCGATCTACTCGTAATCTTCTCAAATGATCGGTGAAACTCAACATTCGTTCTATACAAGGCGTCAAACCCAATCTGAAAGAAACAAATTGATTTAGATGTTTTTATTTGTCTATATTACAATAGTGTGTTGCTACTTTAAAAAGGTGCACTCATTCTTTACTTGTAATGTTCTCTTGTTGTGATTTATTTTTTATTATCAGCTCGGTGACGCCATCTGTATTACGTTTCCGAACAAACACCGAGCACGGAAAGCCGGGCTTAGAATATATATATATAAATGAATCCTTATTTGCCTTAGGCACGCCATCACACGGGAACGTCTGGACCGATTTCGAGAATTATTTTTTATTGTGTTTGTTATTGTCAGAAGAAGGTTCTTATAAAAGAAAAAAAAATAGAAAATCGTATAGATTTGAATAATAAAAACTTTTTTAATGTAACCTTATAACGTTTGATATAGAATTGACAGAATGCGTACTGTAAACATCGTCAAATAGGATATAAAAAACTGAATATCGTTCAAAACTGATGCTTCGGTCGGAGTTAATTTATCCAATTCGAATTCAACATTCATATTTAATACAGGACAACGTCTGTCGGATCAGCTAGTGAGAAATTAATATCTATGGAGCAAAACATAATGTCACTAACTTTGCACTCTGATCTAGTGTGATACCGCGGCCGCCGCCAACGCGCACTTCGCCCGGCGTACTCACGCCGCGGTAACAACAGGACAGTACTAACAATTCGCACCAACTGTTGATCAGAAGGCAAATCTGGTCGTCGATCTGGAAAACGAAGGAACCGTTAATATATTTACGACTAGCTATTTTACCGACTGCGTATGATATTTCTCGTAGGTGAAAGAATTTTCATGTTCGGTAGAGCGATTCTGTAAAGATTCGAACCCGAATTCAAATTCACTCAGGTATTCGAATTCACTTCGAAAGCGACATCCGCCTAACCTTGTATCGGTACTACTAACGTTTCGGGGCATAAGTGAAGTAAGTTTCGAAATGACACAGAGACATCAATAAGATACCGTACGAATCAATCAATCTTGTTTTATATTTTTACACAAAAATAGTATCAATAGAATTTCAACACTAATACGAGTTAAACAGATTCGCTTTTGAAGTGAATTCGGTCACCTGACTGAATTCGAGTTCGAATTTTTACAGAATCGCTCTGTATTTCCAAAGATTACTGCCTACAAAAAAACAACGTTATAAACATTACTTCTTTATAATATTAGTATAGATTTTGAGTGATGTCATTATGTTTATGATAGTTTTGTACAGAAAGAAGATCAAGAGGTTTCCCAAAACGGAATAGACCAAAAAAAGCAGACGAAAATAGATGTAGAAAGTGAAAGCAATTAATACATTTCACAATAAATAATTATTCATAAATAACAGCAATCTCGATTCTAAGCTCTAGTATTAGAATACACAAAATTATATAATACAACAAATAGTTATAGTTTTGAGATAATAATTAAAAAATGGTTTTGTGAGAGTACATGTCAAAATACAAAAAAGGGCTTTACATTTTAAATCCTTACGAGATTCAAATACTTATAGTACCGGATATTATACTCGTTTAAAAAAAAATCCTTGATTTTAAAGTTGAAAATAGGGATGATGACTAATTTTTGCTTGTTTGTCCGTCAGGTAGAGTGTTAAAAAATATTAAACACGTATTTTTTAATTTTTTTCGTAATCATATAATTATGGCATTACATTGAGTTGAAATTTCGTATGAGGTCACATTAGAATACGCTTTCTACTCAACTGTGACGTAGCGAGCCCCCACTCCTCAACTTTAATGCCTGTTATCTATACTATTTCTTGTTAAATTGAAGTAAAAAAAATACGTATCTAATATTTTTCTATTGTCTGACTGACGGACTAAATAGAATTGCATTTTTTTTTACCCAGTCATCATCCCTATTGTCTGAAATTTGATACACATAAGCAGTAACTAGTATGTACGTTACTCACCGAAATATTCTTAAAGAGCGGTAGACTTTTACACCACTTAACGATCTTATACAGCCGATGGTCTGCTATATGGCACAGGTCGGCTAAAAAATCGGGACTGGAGTTCTGTGCCGTAATACCGCTGGCGGCCAGTAGGGGGTTAGCTGACGGACTACCAGGGGACTTGCCGAGTCGATTCAGCTCTGATTCGTTGTATTGCCATAGATGTTCCACTTCCATTATCTCCTGAAAGAGGAAGAGATCTTTAATTCCACTATTTACCTTATGTTATTGTCTTTAAATATAATGCTTCATAAAAAAATATGCTTAACTCTTAGATGATAAGGTTCATTTTTATATTTTGTTATTATTTTTACGTATATGATACAGTTTTGATAGAAAACTTTGTCGTTTAGTTTAACCATAAATTTATAATAGGTAATGACAGATAAAAAACTCTTTGGTTGAAGAAAACTGTCACATACATCTGTTACTTTTGGGTAACGATAACGTTGGTGACGAACCTTTTCTTTCTCCCACTATACACTTGCACAATAAATTGAAATACTGTCGATATAAACTGTTGATATAAATCATTCAATGTCTGAATCAGTTGTGATTATTATTCACTCTCAATTGTCGTTAGAGGTTTATGAAATGAGGACTTAATTACCTTGCTGCATCAATTGTGTACGAATCCTTCTACCAAAAACTTTAGTTGGTAAAAAAAACAAATACTGTGAATATGATTACGGCTATAGGGCGAAATAGATAAAGTAGACCCTCCAGCAGAGCGACCTTACTCCTCTCGCTATAACTCTAGCCATAGGATATGACATCTTATAGATGTTATAGCGCTTTGTCGTTTCATTTTACTACTTTGATAACGAAGACCAAATAATAAATCCAGCAAAAGACTACTCAGAGTAGAAAAATTAATCGCTAAGATGTCGTATCCTATCTTATGTTTAGGGTTAAGACAAGAGTTAAGGTGGTCACCCCTGGATGGACTTCCTGAGTTTTTATTCTCGTATTTGTGTTTAGCTCACATCTAGTATAAGCTATAATATCATATCATATAATATATAATATAAGCTTCAGTCAAGAACGCCTAAAATTGGTACAAATTATTTGAACAGTTTACGACCAAATACAAGGAAGTTACTGACTTGCAATAATGGGGGTATGTCAGGCGTCAATCGGCTGTTACTCGGCTCTCCTCGACTGTTGTATGACCCAGGGCCATTTACCTGTAATACACAAAATAATTCCTTTATAAATTACTGTAGATACTTTTAAACTAGACGTAATAAAACGCTGGCTATAAACAACAAAATCCTTCCACGAAAACACCCAGACGTACGAAATTTAGAGCCATGACGTCACATTTCAATAAAAAATTAGAACTGGTTGAACACGCAACAAAAACATTGATGTTTATTTTATTAAATGTGTCGTCGAACAATCCTCTATCTTAGCTGCACGCTTTTCACTTCTCATAATTCACAGATGATAAATCGCTATTTACATATAATTGTAAGTATAATACTTTTTGCAAAAGTAAAATATACTCATAATTTATTTTAAAACAAAAAAACACTTTTCCATCATATTATATAATTAATTGTTATAACTATCAAGTAGCCAAGTTTGGGAACTATTTACACTCGTATCTATAAGCGAGAGGAAGTCCTAGTTTTATCACACTATAAGCAACTGATCATTGAAATTAGAATAAGAAACGTAACCTGTTTAAGTGACGGTTGAAATGACGTAAATACGATTTTTAAGTTTAAATTCTCAATTTAGAAATTAAAGTTACTTTCAGCAGCATTTCTAACGAATATTTATTCATTATATCTAATATATTTACATCCTCCACCATCTCTTATTTTATCCCCATGGGGGTTGAATTTTTCAAAATCCTATTTAAGCGGACGTCTTCATCATAGTAGCTCCAATCTTTCAAATCAAAATCTAAGAAGATTTATACAAGCTTTCATCCCCTACTTTATCCCCTTAGGGGTGAAATTATAAAAATCCTTTCTTAGGGGATGCCTACATCATAGTAGCTTTATGAATGCAGTCTCAGCCCGATCGATTTAAAATTGACAAAGTTTTATACAGACTTTCATCCCCTATTTTATCCCCTTGGGGGTAGAATTGATCAAAATCCTTTCTTAGTGGATGCCTACGTCATAACATCTACCTGCAAGCCAAATTTCGGCCCGATCCGTCCAATGGTTTGGGCTGTGCGTTGATAGATCACTATGTCAGTCAGTCACCTTTGAGTTATATATATTTAGATTAAATAAAAAAAAAAACACGTTAAATAAATACTGACACAAGTGAGACTGGAGGCGTGTCGCAGCGTAGTGGGCACGTGCGCGGACAGCAGCGACCCGGTGGACGCCGCGCCCGACAACGAGTACGAACACTGGTACGTGGACCGACCGCCTCTAGTTCTGTCCTCGCGTATGGCTGTACGAAAAACAACTTTATTTGAATAGGCAAAATTACTCGAATTATTTTACTTTTTTACGTAATAAGATATGACGCTATCGTAGTATGGATATACGTTGAGTAATAGCTTGAGTGAATAAATTAAATTAAGAATCTTTATTATATTTGATAAAGTTAGATAGATAAAATACTTAAAATTTATATAATTCGTGTTGCTCAAAACTAAAAAAATAATATGTAATAAGGTGAATATCTAAATCTATTTAACTTATTAAATTATGACGTCACAAAAAAACTGTTAAACAAGAAGAGTAATATATGACGTCACAATGCAGTAATTTCCAAGCGTTGACGAAATTCCAATATATATAAAAGTTATAATAAATATATTAAAATCTAATTTGATGTAATTTTTCCTTTATTTACCTTCAAGTTTCATCCCACAGCCTAAGCACTTGTCAAACCGGCACGCGGGACATTTCTTCCTAGTAGCTACGGTCACAGAGCAGTTTCCTCCACGCAAACACATATAGTTCTTTCTGTTCTGTACTGTGCGTTTGAAGAAACCTTTGCAGGATTCACACGAGAAGATACCGTAGTGGAACCCGCTTATTTTATCACCGCATATTGGACAAGGACTGGAAATAAGAAAAGGAAAGGTAATTTTAATCACTTTTTAAAACGATTTCGTAAATAAATTACCAAGTGCACTAATAATACGTATTTTATATTATTCAAAATCCTTGATCATCTTTTTCTTCTTTTTAATCTGAAAAATGCTTCTTTTATGTGAAATTTAGCACATATAAATACAAAACATATAGAAAGAGAAACAGTTATGGCTGTATCAACATAAGTTCTTTTGCTTTCTAGCGACGTATGACAGAAACTGCGTTTTTCGCGCGGCATCGGAAATTTAAACTTTAACGTTGATTTTTATTTAAATATACTGTTAATTTCCCGGAAATAGTAATGTAATATACTAATTATGTAATAAAGAATATAATAAAAATGGTTTTTCATAATTGGTCAAATACCCGTAGACGTCTACCCGTATCAAATAGAGGTTATTCTATTACTTTCTGTAATAGCTTTGTATTATTTAAAAATAAGGTGAGCACCTATTGATAAGTTGCTGCCGGCTGATGCCTTGATGGTGATGTAACCGATCATCGCCGTCGGCGTCTTCGTCGTGAGCCGGTGACGCGGGAAATACACTGGCAGCCTCACGGTACACCACGGGGGGATGACGACCCTGAAACAAAAGATTCGTTATTTATTTATTAAACTTTCGTCAACCTTTGGGAAAATTAAAAAACGCGATGGCGGTTCTGTACAGCCATCGCGTTTTTTAATTTAAAAAATATGTTAATAATTTTACAATAAAACTACAGCAAATAATACTAAACTAATTATAAACATACTACAACCACTACAACATATAATATACCAAAAATATTATGAATAAACTTACATATAAACAGTGAATACACACACACACATACATTAATAAATAGATGATGACAAAAGAAAGGACTTGACTTTTGTTGAAAATAAATTTATTTGGCGATCTCCTGATGACTGAATCGGGGAGGTGGTTCCACTTGATACCAATTGATTGCAGAGTAAATGAGTTGTAAATATAAAGCCCGTGCGAAAAAGAGGAGTGGATAGTGAGAGAGAATTTGAAGAACACACGTCAGAGAGATATTGAAATTTACACTTTAAGTACTCTGGTGTATGAGGATTGCAAAGAATAAAGTGTACAAAGCAACCAATTTATTATCACCATCATTCAATTAATGTTACCATATGAGTTTCCACCACGCGGAATCCAAACAAGCCAAATCTGCTAACGTTTATGTAATAAGCGCATCTTAATAGAACATCAACTACTTGCATATTACCATTGCACTATCTACCTGAAGTCCAATATTATTAGTGTAATGTCTGCCTCACACATCAATGGTGACAGATATAGGTATAATAATATTAGACTTCAGTTAGATTCAGTTAGATAGTACAATGACAAAATGTGAGCAGTTGAGATACTATTAAGTTGCTATGATTACTTTATTACAGCTCTTCTGAAGCGCTGAAAAGTTCAAGATAAAAAAGGAAACAAACTCGTTGATTAATACTGTTAACGGATAATATAACGGTAGCCTCAAAAGAATAACTAAAGATTTTTTTTTATATTTTTGAATTTATCAAAATGTTATAAGTAAGACATATTTTTATGCCTATTTTGTTACTTCATTATAACAGTTGATTCGATTATTGAATGAAGGTCAGGAGAATACACACTTTTTTCAAGATGGTTTAAAAAACGGTTTTTGTAGGGTAACCACAATACAATTAAATATTAGTAGATGCTTTTGGCGACTTTAAAAGTCGGATTTCTTAATGAGCTTAGCGACAATTATTACTTTTTTTTTAAACAAGTATTTTCATAAAATAGTACAGACCACTAAGAGTAATTTGAATTTACCTGCACTGGTGAATGAGTAGGTGAAAACTCCGAGCTGTAAGAGTAACAGGACGAGTGGGACGCATCACTATTATTGCGAGACAACGATGGCGTATAATGCCGGGAAGCTCGGGGACTAGCTGACGGACTGCTGTATACACTGTAACAAAACGAATTGTTCTTAAAGTATATAGACTTAATGCGGTACTCAAATAATAGTATTTTTGATTGGCTTACTTGACTGTAAAGAGTAAGGTATTTTAAAACTGTCATATAATATCAAACCACTATCAGTTAAAATGTTCTCCAAAAAATGTTATTAAATAAATAATAAACATATTTTCATTCATTAATTTAATTCGTCCCGCGAAAACAACCAGTTACCACATGATATATCAAGCCGTGACGTCACATTTCAATGAAAATAGGTAGGGACTGGTTGCATTCGCAACATTATACGTTGACTACATTTTATTACAATGTGACGTCTCGCGATGCTCCGTTATGGCCTGCGTTTCAGATCTCTTAAGCCACATATTATAAGAACTAAATTAATTATTCAAAAGCAAAATTAACTTTTATAATTATAATATTTCGAAAAGTAAGGCCTAGGCGACAGCTGTAAATCAACGCCGCAGTCAAATATCGAGCTGGAACCTTTTGGATACACCGTGCAATGTAATTTTTGTATCCAATACATGGTTCATTCATTTTTTCTGCTTTATATTTTAGAATACTGAAGTACTATAGGTATACATCACTATAGAGTTGTGAACGTATCATAAATGACAGCTGTCAAAAGGCAGAGAGTTTTTCAAAAATAATCGTAATACCTTCTTGTTGTGAAAGTCAGCCCCAAGGTGTTTCTGAACCTGAACAACTAGGTGGTGGTGAAGAGTTAGTGCTTCAATATACTGAAATATCAAGTTTTAGAAAGCTCTTGCACGTTTTTGTTACGATCTCTTACTCGTTAACATAAACAAAAAACGATTACAATTTATGAATGTTGTGTTGTGTACCTGTGTGTGTACATGGAATGCACTGCGGAATCTGTACTAGCGCTGGACTGGACTCTGGGCAACCGGCCCAGCAGTGGAGAGCCGTGAAGTGCTCCTAAGAGTTTGTCCATGCCCACTGATGGCTCACACTTCAACTCTGAAATCAACGACATATCGATAATAACGGTTATATAAGGAACTCGAAACATAAAAGAAAATTTCGAAAGTCTCACCTCAACAGAGTTTCGAATAAAAAATTAATAAATTATAACTGTAGCCATACTATTTTAGAGTCAGGAAAAAATATGCAAGTTGATATGTCAAAATGTTATGGTGAAATAATTCGTCTGGATTATGATTCGGATATCTACATGATGATGACATATACAAATGCATAAAAATGTATTCGTATGTAATCATTTACTACTAATTCATTATCAGTGTTTATTTCAGTGTTATCGGGAACGGTGACGGCCTTCAGAGTTCATTATCAGAAATTGTATTCGACAATCATAATCTGTTCTATATAAATAAACTAATTTTGAAATGCACCTTTCTACCTTACTTAGTACTTAGATGAGAAATAGATTATTCGCTAAGTCTCTTGGCGACGAAAATATGTTTATGGTTCGATAATTATCCTTAGTTATTGGCAACATTTTAAACTATAAAAATAAGTGAAATTTGAATATTTTAAATAAGGAGGTTTTTTTTTTGTTTTTTTTTTGTTTTTGTGGATTACAAATCCTATCCTAGACATATTTCTCTATCAGAAATATATTATTGATAGTTATTTTAAGATGATTTTCTTTTAATACCAAGCCTTAAAGTATAAAAACAATTTCTGTAGTATTTTATAATAATCACTCTGAATCCTGATTATAATCTGCTTATTTTTGTTTTTCTGTCTATTGTGTACGTGCACCTGATTATAATATTTCTATAATGAGAATTACCATAAGTGCATGTTTATTACCTACAGAACATTACATAAATTAAATTCCAGAATGTATTCTTACGTATGTGGAAAATTAACCTAGCCCACCTGATATCTGATTTTCCTTCTTGATTGTCAAATTTTGAACCTCTCCCAGTGTAGTTTGAGGCATGACAGGGACCGAGTTCTGATCGGAGAGGACCAGGGATTTGGCACTGCTGGTTGGTGAGGATGGTCGCCGTGCGAGCGAGAGAGATGTATTATCTAAGACTGATATCTGTAAGAGAAGAGTTAAATATACATTATCTTTTCTTGAACATTCTGTATTAAATAGACAGCTGCAGTTTTAAATAGTGCTCACGCTCAGGCTAGTTGACAACTTTTTTATTTTATAAATAAATGTTAGCTGGCCGAAAACGCTCCCTACAAATTCAAGCTACTTAAGTGACGCCAAACAGTGCTAAGGTATCGAAAACCTTATGGGCGTCTGGGCAATCTATGTAATATCTTTTTTATTTGTGCGTTTGTTTATAGCTGTTATAATGAAAGTTGTAACTTTTTTGAGTTTTCAAAGCGTGATATTTTCCAAATTAGCGTCATAAAATTTATTTTGTTAAATATGTCAAGTTTTACGAACAGACACCTGTGGTTTCACTTGTAAGACACTAGCCTAATAAACCGGCAACAGATAGTCTGTTGACTGAATGTCAAATGAAGAGCAATCATTGTTCATGAATTTATAAATGAGGTAGTTCAAATTATTTCTATAAATCTTCCAGCCCAGGAATACAGACAAAATAAAATGAAGTTTGTTTTAGTTGAGGAGCTCGATGGCGCGTTGTTAAGCAACTCGGTTATACCGACCCTTGCGAAAGTTGCTTAACAAAGTTGCATCATATGTCATCAATGCAAATACATATATTATCTCGAGTTCCTCCGTGCTTCGGAAGGTACGTTAAGCCGTTGGTCCCGACTGCATCCGCAGTTTTTAATACCAACTAATCCGCACTGGGACCGGGTGGTGAGTCATGGACCATACTCCCTTATCGATTTGAGTAGGGGCCATGCTTCCTCATTTAAACGGTGTACCTACAATAGTTTTTTTATTTTTATTTTTGGTGATTTTTTTATAGGCGGCATTCCAATGTTTTGCTAGGACGCCAAGTTCCATTGAGCCAGCGCCGGTATCAATGCGCCATTAGCCAACTCTGTGGCATCAGCAACCAACTTCAAAGATGACACTAATCAACTTAAAAGTTAAGAGTACACCTCATCATCATCATCATAACCAGCCCTTTTACGTCCCCACTGCAGGGGCTCAGGCCTTCCTTATGGATGGTTAAGGAGGATGGGACATGACCCTCCATGCTGGCCCAATGCGGATTGGAGGGTATTAACGACTGCAAACGCAGCCGCGACCAACGGCTTAACGTGCCTTCCGAAGCACGGAGTAGCTCGAGATAATAATTTTTTGGTCATCTATCCCGTGACGCACCCTTGCGAAAGTTGCTTAACGACAACGATCGCGGGCCGCGGCGCTTATCCACTACGCCACCGAGCTACTCATTTAGAAGAAGAGTACACCTGGCAGCACGCAATCGACTTTTACGTCCTTTTCTGTTGCACAGAACCGCCTTTCGTTAGAGCGATAAAGTTAGCGTGTTGACTATCTTGAGGATTCCGTGGTGTATTATCAATTAGTGTACTTTCCGAAGTGCGAAGGAGGTCGAGATAATAAATTTTTTGTCACCCACCCAGCCAGCAATTGCAAAAGTCGCGTAAGCTCCTCTAAATAAGGTGCAAGATTATTATGTGCCAAGCTTCGTTGGTATACAAACTTGTAATACCTACTATCGCTAACAGTATGAAACAGTTAATTATTATAATTTCGGGAATTCAGTATTATTGCTTCCATAGTAAAAGTCGGTATACTTAACTCATCCACACCAGGAAGTCCTGACATATAATCTTCCACCTTGTATAGGATACATTTGAATATTATGCGAAAAACTGACCCTGTTCATACTGAGACTTCTCTGGTGTGGTTGTAAAGGCACCGAGTACTTCAAGTCCAGTACTCGCTGATCATCCAAACTCTGGAATGCTTCACTTTTGATAGGTTCTGTTTTAATAGTAACGTTGCGTAATGTATCAATGGAATCCCTGGATGACTGCAAATCCAAAGAACTGCTGTTTTCATCTGAAATAAGAGATCTTACTGTAAAATAAAATTAACTATACAGTTACATTTATAGTGAGGGAGCAATAATATAATTGGATGTACATAAGTGTGTACACACAGCTGCACGCCAGCTTACCACAATATGTCAAATTTCGGCAATTGATTTAAACTCTACAAGCTAAATATTAAGGTTTAAAGTCATGTGGATAAATTGGACAGATTTGTATAACCGGACGTACTTTTGACTATATATAACAATTATCACAATAATACATTTATGAAACTATGATCATATTTAAGATGGAATAAAAATGTAATCTTGAATAATAGATTTAGAACTTTGAATAAACTAATGAAATTAATAAGCAAGCGTGTAACGCATTACCTATAGCGTGATTAGAATTAACGCCAAATTGACTTAAATTAAATGCTCTATGATAAAACAAAAATCAATCAAAGCGTACACAATGATTGTATTAATTTTGAGTTATAAAGTTAAATTATAATATAAATGATTAGCTTTTGCTAGCGACTTTGCGTAGTTCTAGGCTGTTTTTATAACAGATATCACTACTACAGAATTAGCGAGACCGTTTTTTATTTGCCTTCTGTAATTGTAAATTTAAAAGAGTGTATCATCAAAAATATCGCTATCGTCATGTTGAAAAGTGTTTCAACAAGCTTTTAAGACCTTCTGGCCTTTATCAATCACTATCACATTCATATAACGTACAACCACTAAAAATTATGTGACGTAACGCGTCTCTCCGGAAGAGATAAATTTTGTTATTGAAACACGAGTAATGTTATGATTGTACGTACACAATATTTTTAAATTTCCAGAAAATCTATCTGTGACGCTCATATGATTTCCATGATATTTTTGGTAATGCCTAATAAAGTTTATGTTTTTGAAGACGCGTATCCGTACGCGTCTCTGCAGTTCTGCGGCCAAATCACTAGTAAGAATTAGGAATATAGGGCTGTAAATTTTAGTGCTTATTGGTTTCTAAAAGAAGGCTTTCTTAGGCGCCACCAATTAAGACGTTTTCTGGTTTTCAAACTTTATTATTAACCTTGCATTTTACTATTACTACAATCGTTTATTACTTTAATAATAGTAAATTATGCTACTAAATTATACTGAAAAAAGTCGGTTAAAATAGGTTCCAATGTATCGTTCGAGTTAAAGTATATACACATAATATTTGAGCAACTGGTACTTATTTACCATTGTTCATGCTCGTGTCTATCACCATTTCGGAGTCTGACAACTCCCCCTCCCAAGACATTGGCCTCTCGCGATCGTTCTGCTGCGTGTCGTACTGCGCTCCGCTAGACGGACGCTTTTTCTTATTGCGCATGTTCACCTGAAAGGAAACAGTTGTCAAATTACTGTTGACAGTGAGTGACACATAACTGCTCGACTCGTAGGAAGTATTCGGATAAATAGAGCTATTTCGGATTGATGACCTTAAACGTATATCTTAATATGGACACGCCTGCAGAAATTACGAATAGATAACTATAAACTTACCTATATCTTAATATGGGTATGAGTGTCTAGCACATGATAATAGATGCAATATGTTTAATACTGTAGAAAATATTATATTTTTTTGCTTATTATAAATTCAAATGCTTTTATTACCTCATTTTGATGTTGTGTAAAGTCTATCTTGGAGATTTCCGCGTCTGTAGAGTCCTCATCATGCGGATCAGAAGATACACTGATGCGCACTCCACTCGAACTGTAGGAGAATTGGACTGCAGAACAAACATCATGGATTAACAAAATAAAAAATAATATATGACAATTAAAAGGTTGCAATAGATTTTTTTTTATGTTTGCTTAACATGTCAAAGTTTCTCCCACAAGCGAAGATGACCAGGGATCCCCTTCACATTATGCTACTATCGGGTTCCCGGGTAAGTCGGCATTTGGGTAATCCACAATTTTTAAATTTCTTATTGGACTTATAGAGACCATTAAAAATATTAATTAAAAAAAAATATTTACAAGCCGTTATTAACATGACGTAGATAGGTATAGGTATCACAAGAAAGAAAGAGCGTCGGTTTTCAGCGAAATAATTATTTTATCAAAATAATGCAATCCACTAATCGCAAATTGAAGATAATACAAATACCTATGTCGTTTTAAATTTTTCAGTACATATATAAATTGCATCAAAATCTCTAATGAAAATTTTAAATATTTAATTGAAATGTGATATCTCTTTAATTGACAGTTCGATAGTTTACTAAAATGAGATGAGGATGGTATATTTCCGTTCAGAGTCCATTGATACTATGGCGCCAAGTCAACGACCTCGCGTTATCAGCATGGCGTTTTAAAGCCTTCCATTGTGAGACGAGAATAATCTACATTATGTAAAGAATACAAGATAGGTATTTGAAATTCAGGTGTAATGTACATTTACAGTGCTATTTACTATTACCTACTAAAATTGCAATTTTAGTAGGTAATAGTCCAAATTCATATCACACAGAGAATAAGCAAACCTACTGCTTTCTACGAGTAATTACTCGTACTATGTTAACCTTTGCTTAGTCTCTGTTTAATAATATGAATTTTTACTAATGCTCAGTACAGTCTCAGCGAAAATTTATTCCAATAATAAACGTTGTTTATTATTTATACTGCTAGTGATTATTCATTCAATTGTAATAAGTAAAATGAAGTACCTAGTATGTACAGCAAATAAAATGTGTGATGTCATTTTGAACTTTCACTCACCATTATTGGTCTCCGGTCCCGACATGCTGATTGTGGTGACAGAAACGTGAACCCCTTCCACCTTCACCGGATCACCCTCGTTCGACATCGCACTCATCGCCACCACATCACAAACTATCGACAACTAACTTATCGATTCATACACAACACCACACTATAGAACACCATTCACGTTTGTCTAATAAAAAGCTTCCAAAAATACCGTTCGAATATTTCAAAAATATTATTAATTATATCGCTAAGTTTCTCATCATCATCTCGCGTCGCTACTCATTTTTAAGGCATGTGGAGAAGTCAGTCTTGCTGATTGAACAATGGATTCATATGTTTTTAGGCATTTATAAGAAGGTAATGTTTCTGGTAGAGTCAAATGCCAACATTGATTACTGCCCGTTGGTAACGGGATCATCTTGATTAATCTGAAACAAAAGAAAATAAAATCATTTCCATAAAAAAATGTAGAAGATGATTTTATACCGACAAAGAATAATCCCATCCACGTTTGAAATAAGAATGGTAAAAAATCCTGTCGTACCTTATGTACTTAGTATGACTCATAAAAGTTAAATAAAAAGAAATTAACGTCTAAAGAGACAAAAAGTACGCCCGGCAACTTCTCACGCGATTCAATTTTGAATGAATGTCGTTTCAAAACCATTTCGTGTTTGTGTACACGCACCGACAAACGACGCGTCGTCGGCCCGCGGCCTTGCGAGTGAGAATAGTGTTGCGCGATAGCCTGCGATATTATTATCGATACGAGCGGCCGACCTCGTGTCATTGGCATTATGTTTACAGTGCCGAGGGCGAAGCTCGGAGATAACGTTGTACTGCGTCAGCGACGCCTATTGAATGAATCGTCATTTTAAAGTGTTTACTTAACAGTTCAAACTTGTTTCACTGCCTACTCATTTAAATATTTAGTCTAATGTTTAATGAATATGAAATTCTATGAAGAGCTAGTTTAAATTAATGTCAGGTTCATAACCGTTAATAAGTTTGATAGGATAGTGAATTTTATATGAGTTTCGACAAGTATTTTTTTATCGATAAGTAGAACCTTAATCGCAAGCGCAGTAGAAAAGAAGGGGGGAGGTCCACGGCCTTCACAGAGCCGGTTGTTGCTGCCGGCCGCGAGCATTTCGCCTTTCGCGCAGGATTGGCAGCCGCTTCCAATACTTTAACTGCGGGTCGCAGTAAATTAAAACAATAATTATTAAACGAAAACAGATGATTATTAGCACTCGAAACTTGAACTTTGACACATGATTCTAGAAAAATATGTACTTATTTTCCATGTTGTTTCCTGTAGAAGTACTAAAATAATAATTGTAGATAGATACTGATAAAGAACATTCACTTTGAACTAAAAACTTTGACATAATTTAGTTGATTAATATCGAAATTATCACGGTATTGAACGATAACATCTGGTAGATACGTATAAAGTAGTTAGTTAGTTATTATTTTGATATAAAATATGCTAACTAAGGTTGCTGCACTATACCAACTTTCCCGTATTGATGAAATATAAACTAAGAATAGATCTATGAAAGTCAATCGTCTGGTAGATCAATTAGAATTTAATATTACTCCTTAGCACAGACGTTGCTCAGTTATTCAGTTATCTCTATATCAAGCGAGTGCATTTTGCTCAGCAACAATACATATCTATTTCACAGCATTATTAATTCTAGTCTCTACAAAAAATGTCCTTAAAATTATTTATAATAGAGACATTATAAAAATATTAAAGGACATTTTTTTGTTATTTAGTAATAAACTTTCATAGAGCAATTTGATATAAACATAATCCAACGATGAAGATCTTAAAATGTGTTCACGTTTATAGCATTCTATAATTAAATCAAGGCATGTAAAAAAAATATCATCTATTTCTTTCTCTTCGGGTTTTAAGCAACCGTGTACGAGCGAGATAAATATAAATTCGATGTCCCAATAAAAGGAGTTCATCCGCACGCAAGATGGCGTCATCGTGGCCTAGACAAGGCCGAGCGGTCATTTATACGATACGCCAGACGAGAGCGTTGTCTGTATCTACTAAAGAAACGATATGAAAAAATACTTCTTTTTAAATGCACCCTGATGATATTGGTATCAATTCTGCTGAACAAACTTAATTTAGGTTTAGACTTGTCAAATTGGTCAATAGCTAAACTAAACTAAAATAATATAGGTGAATAATATTATATTTACCTTTATTATTTTAGTTTAGTTTAGAAAGTTGTACAACAGTATCAGCATTATCAGGATATTTGGATTCAGAACTAGGTTTGCTTAAATTATATATTGTGCCTACCGCCTATTCATGAGATATTTATGGAATCTATTCAATGTCTATCAAATTAAAATATGTAATAGGAATCGTAATTATTAATTGTAGAGTTGTTTTGGAAAACGAATTGAACTATACTGTTGTATTTTAACTTTACAATGTTGGTTATCTCTTGCTTCTTGCGTTTTATCACAAAAACAAAAGGAGGAAAGAATTGCATGTTTATTAACTTGAATTGAATTCCTTACTCGAAGTGTCCTTGTGTTGTTATTAAAACTTATCAATAAGGTTGCTTCGTGAGACGAGGCGACGACCGATAATTATCGTAAGGTCGCAGCATTATCTGTATGACGTATAAACAACGAGAATCTAGACAGTGTTGTGATAAATAACGCATTAGCAGGAGCGAAAATATAATCAAAAGCTACAATAAAACTAATAATTAATAACTAAAAAAAAAAATTGACAGTACAATAATCGCTAGCCTTCGGTATGTTAGCGTACAAAAGATTTTGGTAATGACAGTTTCATCATAGAGTATAAAAATGCGTAGCCCTGAAACAAATAATTTGACGACCATGTCACGTCGCTTTAGGAATATTTTTGGGAATATTATATTTTGAATACTACACTTATACACTTCTAAAATATATTTTTTCTCAAGTTTTGTTCATATTTCACGTTAGTCTAAGTTTTTATGTAGGTATATACTTTTATACACGCTATTATAACTCTAATTCTATATTAAAATTCCCAGATCGAATTGACGTTCATTTCAATAACAATAGAATGAAACACACCAGCAATTAAACTAAAACAATACCGACAACACTAAAAGAGTACGTAATTCTGCTATGTTATTAGTGAGTACTGTTAGTTCAAGATTTGCGCATCTGACGCATCAATTTCTATGTCCTTGACACTGATGAGTGCCGCTGAGGTCGCTGTCATGTTTCCCCCTAGAGTCGACGCACCCTGTCACCCACGCGGCACTGAAATAGAAGAGGTTATTACTCCCAGACGTACTACGACTATCAGGGAACAAAGAAACCTCGTTTTACAAGCAGTAGATACTTGGCACGGAAGTTTAGCTTCCTTCATTTTAACGTGTAAGCGAATTATATTCTGTACAATTAAAGGTGAAGGAGAATATAATAATAGTTAACAATAATGCTAGAAGTTCAAGATTGTTAATCCTTTCTAGTCATGTTAATGCTTTAATTTTTTTTTTGTAGTTGCGTGTTCTTTTGTTTTTCAGTTTATTTATTTAGCATGTATTGTATGCATTCACTTTTTACTAAAATACAGTCTTATTTTATTAGTAAAACTAAGAATAAAATATTTGTTTATGGAATTTTAAACATGTACCAAAACATATACCTATTGTACCTTATCACTACATTGCATGTACAAAACAAATTCGCTTTCTGTCCCTTTATCCCTATGTATGCATAATTCTTTAAAACTACGCAACGGATTTTGATGCGGATTTTTTTTTCATAGATAGGGTGATTCAAAACGAAGGTTTTTATGTATAATAAAATCGAAGCCGCTAGCGGAAAGCTAGTATATATAACAGTTCATATTTTTTTTATCTAGGTTACTTTATCAAGGCCACTTAAAATGACGAAATACTCTTGAAAATTGCATAAAATTGGTGAAACAAAAAAAATTTCAACTTTTTAGCATTTGCGGATACGTAAATTTTATATATCTATGTTATATGTTACTATGAAGTGCCATCTAGTAAAAACTCACATCAAAAAAAATACTTTCGAGTTTAATAACTACATAATTGACATCAAGCAAATAATTCATTTGGAATCTTTCTTTTAATTATTAATACCTACATTTTTATTAAATCGCGTGAAATATTATAAATGCGAAAGTATATTTTTCTGTGTGTCTGTTACGTTTTCACGCTTAGTACAGTAGGTACTAATTTTGATGAAATTTTAAACACACACAAGAGTGGACTTTAAAAAAGGACATATGATATTTTTTATCGCGAAAAATAGGCTTAAAGGGAAGTCCGCGACTTTGATGCACGAACAAAACCGCGGGCAGAAAGCTGAGTATTGTAATTTATCAAGTTGCTGTATTATTGTTTGTACAGCGTGAACCGTCTCGTCCAGACGGCGGCGTCGACAGCTGACTAAACCAAACGAATTCGAAGTAACACCACTCCATAAAATATATTATAGTTTGCTTATAGTTAGCAATTACGATATAAAACGACGATGTGACCCTGTCTTCTGCTAAGCAAATATGAATCTTAATTTGACTCACACACGTCCTTTTATGATTATCAAAATGATTTGAGTGTCGAAACGCACGATCTGCCGAATGTTTCCACCTGTTTTGTTGTTCAAGGTTGAAAACGGTCATGTCGGCTTAATAGGATATAAATAATATTTGTGCCATATTGCGTTACTGTATGACGAGTTTCTTATACCTTTTGAAGCTTTTGTTTTACCAATATAATACAATAATAGGACAGGGAAAAGAAGTGTTGATCGACAATCAACAAGATGGGCAGGTGATATTACATTTATGACTTTGAAAGATGAGACTTTAAAAGTTGTAGACAAGAGTCTGATTTTATTAACAACAAAAGCTGCAGAACTCATTCTATTTGGCAAAGTATCTTTATGAGGATCCCATTGCGATAGGAAATCTAGCATAATACCAAGGAAATACTGTCGCTACCAACTCAACTATTTCACTATTTACATTAAGTTTACAAACTAGTATAACTTTAATACCATCCTGTTCCAAGCTTTAAAAATGTCTTAAAAGTG